TTCGAGAAAATCTATACATATAATAAAATTGTAACTAAGCCGAATCTATACTTTAGATATTTTTTGGAAAATCTTATTCAAATAAACATTATTATCGATACAGAGGCCGAATCTATAGTTTTTAGAATTTTTGTCTGTCTGTCTGTCTATCTGTTACCGCATCACAGAAAAACTACTGAAGGATTTTGATGAAATTTGGTATGGTGGTAGCTGGTTATCCGAGTCAACGTATAGGATACTTTTTACCGCGGGAAAATATCTCATTTCTGAGAAAAAATACAAAAACTGTAATGTTCTAGTGTATATTTAAAACCTAAGAATTTGGTTGTTGATCATCTGAACGCGGGCGGAGCCGCAGGCAATGCTAGTGTCATAAAAAAATAAAAGGCAATCAAAAAATTTGAAAGAAAAAGATAATAAAACGTATATTTCATTTGAAAATATTCTACGGCTCAAATCTAAAATTACTTGATTTGCCATTATTTCCGTTCACGTTTCTTTTGTAACTTCCCTGAGATTTTTTTAATCGTGTTGCAAAGAAAGACATTTTTCTCCAAACTTAATTCCAAATTGAGGCAAAAGAAACTGAATAAGATTGAAGTTGGAGAATTTAAAAGTTGAGCAGGCCGTCGCACATAGTAGCGGGCCAATTGTGTTTCTACTTTATTTACCTGAGCGTAGACAATAAGGGTGTCTCCACACAATCAAGTCGACGAGAAAGTTGATTGTTTGTGTTCCATTCAACTTCACAATAGAGAAAATGAAGAGCAGCCAATTCTTTTTGCAACAGCTTTTATCTGCCACTTTCTTCACTTGCCGAAAGTTTGCATTAACAATACCTCGCAACGAATGCATTAGCCTCTCGTCAAATATTTATCTTGGAATCAAATGTGTATTATTTTCGGGAACGGCGCTCCAGCTAAACTGTTTACACATATTCCTAAACACGGCTTTACTATTTCTGCTACATTGTTTGTGGAGCGTTAAAATATCAGACTATGTAAGTTCTTATGGGTATATTTGTTTATAAAGAATTGGCAAGCGAATCACATCATATTTAAACTCAATAATGCTGTTTTAAAATTAAATCATGATATTAATGAAACAACTCTATTTTAGATTTTAAGACTGAATTTTAATATTATATACATAAACTGAATCTATTATATTTATAGTTACATCCGTATGAAGATTTTGTATCCGTAAGAATTTTTGATAGTTTGATTAGTAGCTCTCTAATATCTGTTACAGCTGTCTAATTATCAACGAGATTAACTCAGAATATCCTATAATAAAACCTCATCACTCGAAATAGCACACATCGAAGATACAACAATGAACCAGTTAATAGGTTTCTAACAACATTGATCGGGACGGCGTTTCTTTGATTGTATGGTGCATTATATTTCTATAGAATGTCTATTTTAAGTAATAACTGTTGATATTATCGTAATCTGCCAAAGCAATCTGGTAATTATAGTTATGAAGCAAACATTCTGTCGCGATGAGAGTTCGTTGATAAAACTTTCGTCCAACTATTAAATCAGATGAGACACAATTCCCTAGCATCTCTTAATTATGGTGCTGCGTATTTCGTATTACAATAATGAAGCAAAACAATAACAAAAGTTTGAACGTCGGAGCGCGGCCAGCGGACAACTTCGTCGCTGCTCAGCCGAGTGCTTGTTGAGCTTGCTCCTAATGAAAACTTACTTGTTACCGTGAACGTAAAATGTTACTACTATTTCATACAGAACAAGAATAAAAAGTCACTGAGAATCCCGTATTGCCTCATTCAATTAGCGAGTAGTAGATATGAATGAAGTGATCGGAAAAACCATATTAAGCCATAGAAATTCTATCAAGTAGTACGTGCATCTAAGTATGAGAAAGTAGATACGTAAGTCAGTATACGTTATCGATAGATAAAATAAGTCGCGTTTTATATGGTTATTATAGCGTCATAAGCGCCGCGCCGGCCGGTGTTTCATACAGTGCGGGGCAGATACTCGTAGTGCTAGTGATTCGGGCGCGGGCGGGATCCGCCCACCGACGGCCGCGCGCCGCCCGACAGATGTGCCGAGATAGATATTCGATATCGGCAGACACATTCATAATCTTTGGTTTTACTTCGCTCTTATTTTATTAAAGTAATAATAAATGTTATTTTTAAGTGAAACTTAAGTAATGATTAAAATAAAATAGAATATTTTATTAAATAATTAATATTAATACTACATATTTATTTCGATAAAATAGTAGTAATTTATTTTAAATAAATGAATACTAAGCATTATCTAATATGTAGTGCTCATGTTTTAATCTCTTGGTATATAGTAATTGTAACAATCAAAAATCAATTATAAAAACGTATGACCCTATTGTAACAAAGCCAATTAGTTTAATCTTACAGAAAATAATCAAAGACATTTATTTACGTTCAATCTGCTAGAATAATACAATTGTCTCCAAACAACAGAGATTCGAGGATATAATTAAACCTGGAAAAAAGTTATTAGTACACTTTCAGCAACAATCGCGAGCTTAAATAATTATGTTTACGAAATCCTTTTCTTACGCAGAGATTATTTATCTTCTCCATTTACGAGAAGTGACGCGGACGAATTTCACGAAAATGCCCCATTTATCTGCTGCGAACACACAAAGGAAACTTGAAACCCAAAACTTTTTACGTGGTCAGTGACAATGCTATTTCTCTCCATTCTCTTTGTGGTACATTCCTAACACGAATATTATGTTACAATGATAGTTACATAGCTAGGCAATAATAATTCGAATTAGATACTTTTCCTTCTAGTTTGTTTTCAATCGACGGCCTGATTTAATATTTGCAGAGGCGTTATACCCGCAGATAACTTCTCTCGCCGGACGCCGATGCTTACTTCCTACTTTATCCGTTTACACACCCGCATAAATAACGGAGGAAATCGCCTCTACCCTCATTTCAACAGCGTAACTCTTGTAAATCTCTTATATCTTTAAATCTCTATTTTACTTATAAACATTTCTTATTGTCTACATTATTCGGCCAACTTTTGTCATTGACTCAGATTACTCAGTGTACGTTTTTCGTAAACTTTATTCAATCACATTGTTACGTAGGCGGTTTTTCCTGTTTGTTAAATGTTATGTAGCGACCTTATAAAGTAAAAAGAAAATACAGCGATCTATAGAACTCAGCAAAACCCTATTTGCCTTTCCGAGGGTGTTACTATCCGTGCCTCAATTCGTACGCAAAAGCCGACCGGCCGCGCGTGAAATACCAAGTGCGCCCTAGTTTTGATGAAGAAAGAGGACGCGTTGTTTGCTTAGGCTTACCAAAGGCAAAAGGTAAATTAGACACTAACCAGAAATCGTTATTCTAATTGTTACAAAGTATATGACATACAATACCTAAACTAGGGGCTTAGACAAGATATCGTCGTTAAAGAATGGAAGTCTAAAAAAATATGAAAACGCCATATTATGATTCTATTACATAATAATTAAATTTGTCGTTTCAATATAATTTTCACAATTGCTATTATTAATAGATTGTAAATTAACATCTTTGTATAAGCCCGCTTGAAATCGATTTATAATATTCATTTATTTTGAAAAAAAACTGGGCGATTCGTTAGTTTTATCAAGCAAATACTAGTAGAGAGGAGTCAAATAAGTTAAAAGTTTTGGAAAAGCCATCCGCTACCATGTCAGTATAAACGGCGAGGCATCCGCTGTTTACAGAACGTTTCGCTAATACTATTTGCCGTGGTGGACACGTTACGTCACCTTGTGTATCTTAATCGTTAACGAATATATACACATCTCTTATCCTTATATTTATTGTCACTTTAAGCACTGTGCTTCGGCAATTACGATTATACTATCTTTCAATTGACAAATTACATTGATTTTTCGACTAACTTCTATACATATAATAAAATTCTAACTAAGTCGAATCTGTACATTAAATATTTTTTTGAAAATCTTATTGAAATAGACATTATTATCGATACAGAGGCCGAATATATAGTTTTTAGAATTTTTGTCTGTCTGTCTGTGTGTTACCGCATCACCGAAAAACCACTGGAGCGATTTTAATGAAATTTGCTATGGTGATAGCTGGTTAGCCGGGTCAACATATAGAATACTTTTTACCGCGGGAAAATATCTTATTTCTGAGAAGAAATACAAAAACTGCATTGTAAGAGTATACTAATATGTAAAAACTAAGAATTTGGTTTTTGGTAAATTATATATTTCCTCAAACTTACTTATTTCCTATCTGAATTCTCTTCAAACATATAAAGATACAGTTTGTAATATACTAATTGGCTTTGTGTTTTAACTATTACATTAATTGTTTTTCGAAACGCTATTTTTATTATAACAAGAACATTGCCTTTTAATTAAAAAATGTAGACATCGTCTCGAACTAACGAAGAAAGTTCTTGAGAGCGACAATTAATTTTTGAAGTGTCGCTTTATTAAAACAATTTCAATTGTTATAGACAAATAATTGGTTTTTAACTAAAAAAAAGTATGTTGTATTTATAATCACTATACCTTACAATTTTTTTTTTTGGAATTTATATCGAACTCTTGAGATATCATTGGCGAAATTTTGGCGTAAAACACGCACAAAAAACATACACACCTTTGTTTTTAAAATTGGTAAATAAAATTTTAAATCATAGCAAGCTCTTCTTACCATTTAGCCATTACAAATCTATGCTATGAAGAAAAATATATACTATATTAATGTATTGTAACAATAACAATCAATATAAGGCATATCGCAATTTATGTTATTTGTTAAATTTTATATGTTGTCTATGATTTTTTGTCTGTGCATTATTAAACAATAAATGAGATTTGACAGTCTGTTGAAATCGCGTGTTCTTATCATACTATTTTCCATAAAGAAAAAGTTATCATAAAGGTAGAGGATATAAGGAAAGAAAACATTTAATGACATTATGTTATCGTTGTTTCAGGTTTCGGTTTCGTCACATTTCAGAGCGAAGACATAGTAGACAAAGTGTGCGAAATCCATTTTCATGAAATCAACAACAAAATGGTAAGTGCAGTTTTATAATTAATATTTTATACACATACATATCAAAATAATATAAATAACACAAAATCATGATAAAAAAACTTGCAGAGCAAAATATGTACGTATAATATATTTGATATACGATTAAGCCAAGTCGAAATCTATTTTTGATTATTATAAACACGCAAGCGTATTGAAACTTTTAAAGTACTGGAAATTTTCAAATATTTATTACTACAATATCAACTTTCATAAATTTATTTTTAAAAGAAACTAAAATCTGTTTTGCAAGCTTTTCAGAAGAGTGGCAGAGTAACAATGAACTTTAACAAATTGTGTAGCACTTTATACGAGCTATTCAACGACACCCACTCAATCACGTACCTACCTGAAATTTTTTCTTCTTCATTTTATAAAAAGATCGTCGCTAATATTCTGCATTTTTGTATTGGCTATAAAGAAATATGTATTATATAATACTTATTGCATTATAAAGTAGTATTTTTTAACAATTTCAATATAATGCTTGATTTATTCATCATATAATACTACTAGCATTTCCCGCGGCTCCGCCCGCGTTCAGAAGACCAGAAACCAAATTTTTTGGTTTTACATATTAGTATACTCTTACATTGCAGTTTTTGTACTTTTTCTCAAAAAATGTGACATTTTCCTGCGGTAAAAAGTATCCTATATGTTGACTCGGATAACCAGCTATCACCATACCAAATTTCATCAAAGTGTTTTTCTGTGATGCGGTAACAGACAGACAGACAAAAATTCTAAACACTATAGATTCGGACTCTGTATCGATAATAATGTCTATTTCAATTAGATTTTCCAAAAAATATTTAATGTACAGATTCGACTTAGTTACAATTTTATTATATGTATAGATTTTCGTTTGTTTCTTCAAATCACACAGTTTTCTATTGTTCTTTAAATTAATGATAAATATACATAATATGTTTATATGAAAAATAATTTTTCTATACGTTATATTTAGGCAAAAAAAAAATCATCTAATTAAATTAGTTTTATATGTACTAGACTGTAATTATTCATTAAATATTACAAATTTAAACGCTGTCACAAATTTGAACAAAATTTATAAAAAAAAATATTGAATATTTTAGTACAGTGTACATTTTAACCAAAATTATGCAAACTTATATTATAAACTTGGGTTAAAAATCGAAAGATTGACCTAATGTTAACGTTATCGGGCAGATATCAATTAGAGTAAGGAGCGAGCTGGCATCGGTCCAAACAGGACCAATAAAAAGCCACTAAAGCCGGCTTTACCGTTTTTAGATTTTTCTACATGGAGAGGTTGACATGATTATTCAAAATGCTACTTTGACTTAGGCTATAGAGTTTTTCAATGACATGTAATCTTATTGGAAAATCCTACAGAATATACTTAAATAATATTTAATATTGACAATCATATAAAACACCTTTTGAATCAAATTTCATTTGGTAGTTCTGTATAAAAATAAATACGTGACTATACTTCACATATAATTATAAATAAATCTATAGTTCTAGTTACGAGTAAAATATTCTATCGAAAATCTTTAAGTTGAATGTATACATTGTTTGAAAAACCAAACCCAAATAAAGTATAGACTAAACTTGAAGATACGATAAGTCATATATCAGAATAAGAAACCTTATAAATGTAACATATAACTTGAATTTGCTTTTACTTGTATGACTTGCTTTAAATTTTACTTATATTAATAACATGTAATACAAAACTAAAGCTATTATATCCAATGCATTAAACACTCGACGATTATGAGAGGTGTTTCGTGATAGCGCCACGCCGTAATGCTACAAATCTAATCACACTGCCATGAAATAATAATTACTTTTAAACAACTAACATTATAAGCCTTTAATATGCCGCCGTGTACCGCGCTCGTATCATAATAATAATATTGCATAATTCTAATATCGTTGGAAATTAGAATATTATAAACGATTTAATTGTTATCATCCACAACAGTTGATAGCGTCAATAGAAGTACATACTCGTAACTATAGTATAATTACCGCACCAATTAACATAGTATTACAAAGTTGGTTATTAAATGTATTTGTTATAAGCCCTTATTAGTAAAATTAAATGCCAACTATAATAGCATTTCTATATGATACTACATATACGTAACGAATGGGGTTTGGCCTTTGAAATATATAAATAGAAATTCAAATCTACCTTAAATAAAACTTTTTGTAACAGATTTTATCGCGGTGTTTAATGTGTAGATATTTAGTCCCTCCCGTGATTATATTTGTTATTTGCATTGGAAATATCGGTGACAAAATATCAAAATAAAACCACGATAATATCCAATAAAAATTTATGTCAAATTTTCGCGTAAATCTAAGAAAGTTTTAAATCAACCTTAAAGTTATTTATACTAGGACATCTATACATATAATAAAATTGTAACTAAGTCGAATCTGTAGATTAAATAATTTTTGGAAAATCTTATTGAAATAGACATTATTATCGATACAGAGTCCGAATCTACAGTTTTTTGAATTTTTGTCTGTCTGTCTGTTACCGCTTCACGAGAAAATCACTTGACAGATTTTGATGAAATTTGGTGTGATGATAGCTGGTTATCCGAGTCAACATATAGAATACTTTTTACCGCAGGAAAATATCTCATTTCTGAGAAAAAATACAAAAACTGCTATGTAAGAGTATACTAATATGTAAAACCTAAGAATTTGGTTTTGGTCATCTGATCGCGGGCGGAGCCGCGGGCAATGCTAGACTGTTATAAGTGAATAGAGCACGACTTAAGGTGAACATTACATAGATTATTCGTAGCAACTACGTTACATTTATATTTCACTAAAAATGAAATGATTTTTTTTTATTTTTGAGATTTTGTCAAATAATGTTATTCAACGAAAACAACTATAACTTTAGTCAGTTATTAAAAACCCATCGTCATCAATAAAAAAAACTCATATAGAATCATGGAATATTCTACCTTAATCACACTCAAAATTGGCACCGCATAGGTACAAACGCTCAGAAGAGCCATTATCTACGTAGTCACTTAAACATCCCTTCACCGTTCTTTCAGTCTGAAAAGCCCGGGGAACAGATACATCCCTATGTTGTCGATGCATATTCCTGAATTGTTAATGCTTGTTTTTTGCCTCACCCCATTGTTTCGAACCATAATGGATGTACGAATCTCGCTGCATGCGTCGAATAGAAGGAATCGGGGGTGATGTTCGCCCTAAGTGGAGCAAACAACGAACAAAGACATCAAACAAATGGGTAGTGTTTTAGAGTAATTACGGTACCATACGGCAAGAGAGGTGTGTAGACTCCACCGGCGTTAATGTATTCGTCGTAGTCGTTAATAAAAATGCGTCACTCATTCTAACGTCTAATCCAGAAGACTAATTAGCAAAGGAATCGAAACCGTTCATTTATAATCTGGAAATTTTATCACTGCACGTTCCTTTATAGCGCCTCCTCTCACGTTTTATACAATCGATTAAACTTCTCTCAGCGAATACTCGTAGTAATTTACTTCTCGTAGGCATCTAAATAAATGACGGATTTAGTTGAAAAATGTCTACTACGTGTACAGAACGGGATAGGAACTAATCGCTTATTACAGTATTGCCTTTTTGTTGCGTGCCAACAGAAATGATCAATGTTACGGTAAACTCTTTTTTATGTTGTTTTCGTAAAGCATCAAGTTAATTACATAGAAAGTATTGAATAATTATGGGAATTTAAATAATTTTCAATGCACATACCTAATTTTATATTAAAGACTAGCACTACCCGCGGCTCCGCCCGCGTTTAGATGACCACAAACTATATTCTTAGATTTTACATATTAGTATACTCTTACAATTCAGTTTTTGTATTTTTTCTCAGAAATGAGATATTTTTCCGCGGTAAAAATTATCATATATGTTAACCCGGTTAACCAACTATCACCATATCAAATTTCATCAAGATCCGTCCAGTGGTTTTTCTGTGATGCGGTAACAAACAGACAGACAGACAAAAATTCTAAAAACTATAGATTCGGCCTCTGTGTCGATAATAATGTCTATTTCAATAAGATTTTCCAAAAAATAACTTATGTACAGATTCGGCTTAGTTACAATTTTATTATATGTATTGATATAAATATTATGACAGTCGAGAACCATAAACAATGTTTCTCATTAAAAATTTGTGTTAGCATATCATAAAGACATCTAATAGTTATATTTACGCAGGCAATAAAGAAGATAGAGGCGTCACGTCACCGTCGATGTTTGCGTTACGAGTAGCCGCCCTCATAAATTTAATATGTCATCTGTTATATTAAAATAGTCGTTAAGCTAACAGCTATTCCGCCTTCTTACATGAAGTGATAGGGTGATACCGTGCTTTGCTTTGAATAGCAAAACAACTCCTTTCATTAGGGAATTAACAAAGAAAACTTAAAGAATAGGCATCGTTTTATAGAATACTAGCATTGCCCGCGGCTCCGCCCGTGTTTAGATGACCAAAAACTAAATTCTTAAGTTTTACATATTAGTATACTCTTACATTGCAGTTTTTGTATTGATTCTCAGAAATGAGATATTTTCTCATGGTAAAAAGTATTCTATATGTTGACCCGGATAATCAGCAACCTTCATACCAAATTTCAACAAAATCCCTCCAGTGGTTTTACCGTGATGCGATACCGATAACAGACAAACAGACAGACTAAAATTCTAAAACCTATAGATTCGGCCTCTGTATTGATAATAATGTCTATTCCAATAAGATTTTCCAAAAAATATTTATTGTACAGATTCGGCTTAGTTAGAATTTTATTATATGTATAGACTTACTGTGTTGATGGAAATATTGATTTTGTTCATTGTCTTAATATATTGTTGCGATATAGCTCGTGGATACGGATACCATACGTTAATAATATTTAAAAAAACATAATATTATATTGTCTTTTTTAATTGGTTTTTGTATG